GGAGAAGGAGGAAAGGACTTACCATGGGAAGATGGGCAGCCAGGCAAAGGAAGGAGGCGCTGCCCTTTAAGAACTTGAGTGACATCCATAGACAGGGACATGTTTATAAAGAAGACACTTGTAAACAAACAAGTAATGGTCCCAGCTGCCAGGGCTATGGATAGACACGCCCAGCAAGCCCAAGCCTGACCTAGGAAACTGTCTCTGGAAATTTACCAATGATATTTCAACCTCTGCTTACTTCCATTGGTGGGAGGGGGATTAAAGAAAAAAAAAAAAAAAGCTAAAAACCAAAATGCACCTGATTTCGACCAGAACAAAAATAAAAAATGAGCTTGGGAGTTAAGAGTGAAAACCAAAATACAAATGTACCTAAGTTCTGCCCCAAAGTAGAAAAGACTAGTTCTTTAAAGCACAGAAAGCCCCACCTTTGAGATATTTATTCCTGAGAATCAAGAGAGTGTGTAGACTTAATGAGTTTATCAATCTGCTTACCAGGAGTTATGATGGAAGTAAGATTCATTAGAAAGGATCAGTGAAGTGGCCATTTACTTTCTCATTTAACCTAGCCTCTATCCTAAATGATCATCAAACCTTCTCATTTACACCCCCATCATACAAGAGGAATGATTAAAATGCCAGCCCCAATTCAAGTAACTGATGTATGGCAGAAACAAATACATTTATATGCTTTCTAGAAAGATTAATAGTAGCTGGTGTTAGCTTGCCAAGTGCAGATGTACAAACATTCTATCTGACACATAAATCAAACATAAGGCATATGGCATATTTTAAAGACTGCTGATGTTACAGTGATTTTAAATTACTCAGGTTCTGGAATAAACTATGTAGATGTTGACTGATGTGGCAATATATCCTGGATCTTCCCTTATTAATTTAATGTTATAAAATATAATGGCATTAACCAAAAGAAGGTCTTAGGAATTAAGAAGAGAAAATGTAAACATATTTGAAATCAAGGGGTATATTTTTATAATGAGTTGTTTGCTAATTTGGGCAAATTCATTACAATATGGCTCCAGTAACCACTGTAAGTTAGTAAACTACCATGAGACTTTACTTTTTGGTCTCCTTAAAAGTGAAGTGAATGGAAAAGAAAAAGCGAACCAAATGACAAAAGAAATGAAGGAGCAAATAAATGAAGAAGCAGAGCAGGGTGATTTGTGACGTCAAATGAGCAGTGGCTGAATCAGAGATGCCCTGATGGACCAAGAACTATTTAAAAGTTTCCAAGTTGCCGGCCACTGAAACCAGCAATTGTGCAAAAATCAGTGGTGTTCAGGGTTAAGTAGGGCAGAACACTAGACTGGAAACGAAAGAATCCAGGTGAACTTCTCAATCCTACTGTTGGCTGGTACGTTCCTTTTCAGGGATGTGGTAAAAATGACATGAGAGGTGTGTGTAGGTTTGAAAAGCGCTTTGTAAACTGCTTGCTGGTCTGCACGTGCAGGTGCCATCACCCCACCCCCTCCCTCTCCTCCTCGTCCTTAACCTCAAGTCACTTCCTACCACATCTTGGTCACTGTTTAAAACAAAATGATCTGTGCAGTCAAGTGGTCTAGGTACAAGAAGAAGCTTCAAAATTTTATTGGTAGAAATAACTTAAAAAAAAAAAAAAATCTGGGGCTTCCTGGCGGTGCAGTGGTTGAGAGTCCGCCTGCCGATGCAGGGGACACGGG